CCCATTAACTGAATTGTAAGGAACTAAGCCAAGCTGTTCTGTTTCTGTCCCAGTTTCCTATAAACTAATCCTAAAAGCTAGTCCAGATCTACTTTGCTCTGGCTGGCTGACTTCCTTAATGGTTAATATGTTTAGTTACAAGCTGGGCCAGGGCAAGGAGAAGCAGAGGAAAACAGGGAAAAACATGCTAAGCAAACTTCCAGGCCTTGAAAGGGTTAAAGATGCTGTGTGTGCCAGTGCCTGTAGCCTGTCTCCAGTCCTTATAAAACAGTGTGCGCTGAAACCCTGCTTTGTCCCTCTGCAATCTCTTCAATTATTTTTTGTTTTGTGTATTTTACAAAGGATAAATCAGGGAACATTTCAAGAAATGTTTTCTCATTCTAAAACTTATCAAAATATTGCTGACACTGATCCATGGCTGGGAATGTCATTCCTGAATAAACATGATGTCATTCTCATTCCATTCATACTTCTCCTGGACAGCTGCTGTCAGCCTCAGTGAAGAAAAATGCCACCTCACGGGTGACAGCTGCCAGTTGAGGTACTTTGTGTATCAGCCACCATAGGAAAGGGAAAAAAAAAGAGCCAGTCATGCACATGCTATTTAAAGTATGTTGCATCTTGATGCGAAATGCAAAAGTTAATATGGGGCAGGTTGCTCTGTGTCAAAAGTCTGGACAATGAAGAATAAGGAACTTTCCTGGTCTCACCTTTCTAAGAAGCAAGGTTCAGACAAGGCCATCCCTCCTGCACTGGATTTGCTTTAAAAACAAAACCAGTGCTTGTTAAGATGTGCTTTGGTTGCTTTACTCTTCCTTATTTTAATTTAGGCCTGAGAAGTCTTCTAGAGCTGACGACTTAGAGGGGACAAAGAAGCGCATGAGCAGACCCAGTATGGATGCTCACCATGACTTACACCATGTTCCAGAAAATACCCTAGAGGTGACAGTTCCAGTATGGTATCATCTGCAAACTTTCTAAGAGCATATCTTGGTAAGAGCTTGTCACTTGGCAAACCAGATAACCCTCAGGGAGCAGAGCTGGCCCTCCACACCCAGCCATATTTAGAGGAGACTGTTCATGTCAAGGGCATAGTCAGATTCCAAAGGGAAAGCACCAGCGCACCAGCAAAGCTGTGGTCCAGTCTGCAATGGACAGGCACATGCAATACTTTGCAACCACACTTAGAAGGCTTCCAGGACACAGGCAAATGACAAATCAGAGCAGACCAAAGAATGAATTCCAATGACAGGTTTTGTTAAGCTCCTAGGCCACAGACTCAAAACCTAATACTTTAATTTCCTCCTCCACCAGTAGGGAAGAAAATGAAGAATTTAAACACCATAAAGCCTGATATTTCCTGATGGAAATTGTTTTGAGGCAGATCTAATTGCAACCCTTGCACCAACTTATTTTGCCTCACTCTGTGAATGCATGACATGCACTTCTGATCAGTTTACTTGTCATGCAGTGATAGCACAACATGCAGATTTATAATAAATCATTGCTTTTTTCCAGTACCTCAATTACAACTTACAATTTTCTGGCAGCCACATCTCCTGCAGTTGCTCTAGGAATTGTTCTGAGCTGGTGTAGCTCTTCAGTTGCTCTCCAAGCATGGAGACAGACAATCCTTGCCCCAAAGAACAGCACAGACTAAATCTGTGTTCTGTTCCTTCTGGCCTCCAATTTGCACTGCAACTTCAGTGTCAAAGGGGCAGATGTATAATCTGGGAAGCTTTCCAGATGCATCTTGAGCAAAGCAAAGCAAAGCATTGTGAATCACTGGTACTAAGCAGGATCTTTCAATCTGTCACAGTACCACTGGCAGCACTCAGTACATGCTCACAGTACACCCAGGATAGAAAGCACCTCATGGAGAGGACACCAGTATTCACCAGATTCTCAAAGAACAAATAAGTAAGTTATCTTCTCTTGCATGCTGTGGGGTTTCATCATGCAGGCTGTGCCCCAGCAGCCCTGCTCTATTCCTGCTTGCCACAAGACCATGCTAGGCATAATTTGCTCTGCAGCCATAAATGTTGCATTAATAGGTTTCTTGCTATTACTGGGCCATCACTTTAACTTTTATCGCTTCTCCACTCCCATAAATGCTTTCAGGTGTTCTTCCAAGGAGTCTGTGCAGATTGCCAAAGAGTGGAGAAGAATGACAATGACACGGCCTCTGGCTCTCCCCTGAAACAGCAGCCTTTCTGTCATCCCCTGGAAGTGCTCCAGTTTCTTCACAGCTCTGGAAAAATGGCTCAAGCAAGGTTGCCAACACATGTTCCTCTGTGCGAGACATTACTCTGATTCTGGAGCCTGCGAGGAGCCTGTCAGCTATCATTCTGCTAGGAATTCCCTACCCCTGGCTCCTCTGCTTTCAAACTCAGTCTGTGTTAGGCTGAGTGAGAGGAGCTGTCAGGTACCTGGAAAACAATAGCAGCTTTTGCTCTAATTTACATGCCCAGTATTGAAATCCGTTGTCACTAACTCAAGTGGGCAGTGGATAAAAACTAAGTGAAATATAATGATGCAATTCACACAAATGTGTGAAGGGAGCATCTCTGCATCCAACCTCATGCTCACCAATGTTCTGGTGCAGATTCGTTGTGTCAAAGCATCAGAAAATAAACGGATATCCAGCACACTGGACTCTCCTGATCCAAATGACATTTATCAAGTCTCCTCATGGGCTGTTCAAGTGGCAAGTTAACAGTTCTTTCTTTAACCTGCTTTCCTCCAACACCTCAGTACGCCAACCTTCTGCTGGGACTGGCCTCCAGGCATGTCCCATGCCAGTTGCTCTAGCATTTGGAAGAGAGAAAGACAACCTCCATGCAGGCTTTATGGATGTTGTCTTTAACTGGCTGTTCTGACACAGACACCCTCTGCTTATCTCCATTTCCGCCTGTTACCCTGTGTATGCAGCCTTATTCCCTTCCCAGGTTTCCTCTATGGTCTGCACAGCAGATAAGCACCTCACACCTTGGGCAGCTGAAACACCCAGAACCTTCCAGGACTCTCAGCCCCTCATGCTGTGAGGCAAGAGGAGAACAAGGGAGCTCAGGGACTTAAAGAAAGCCAAAGCGCAGAGCACCCGTACTTTCACAACACTTTGTTTTAAATCAGCATTAGCAGGAGTAAAGCTAAACTTTCCTGCATGTGAAAGCCCTCTCCTGTCTCACAGAAGTGCTCCCCGCTGCTGTTTGTCCCACTGGCAGCAACAGATCTCCACGGTGACACACACCAAAGCCCCAGTCTCACTTTTAATTACAGACCATGCCCCTGCAGCCTGGTTTTCAGCAGCCCAAGCACTCCACACAGAGAGCCCCAGGCAGCACCCACGCCTCCACGGCCTTAGCCTGCTCTGTGCAGGGATGTAGCCCTCAGGCCAGTCACCCACTGATGCAGTCACCACACACAGTTTATAACAGAGGGGATACCACAGAGGGAACCAGGTGCCACACTTTAAGCACTAGTGTGCATGCACTAGCATGGCATCATTCAACTGGCATGATCCTGCTGCAAGCATCTCCTGAGGGGGATAATGGCGGCTCCATCTGCTCCAAGCCCCAAACGCCCCAGACTCCCCTTCAGCCTTACCTGGTGCCGTCTTCTGGGTGATGTTTCCTCACATGGCGCCCACAGGAGACCTCCTGCTCCGCAGAGTCCTCAGCCAGCACCATCTGCCCTTGTCTTCATGGGGAATGAGAATTCACCTCAGGCGACTCAGCAGCAAAACGCCGGTGCCTCAGCACGGCTCCCGCCATTCCCAGCAGTGGAGCCCCTTGGGTGAGAAGTCACTGTCCTCAACTGAATCCTGGGATTTCCTCCACTTCTGAGGTAAAACATTCCCTTTACAGAGGCATCACCTCACCAAAAGCACCTGAGGAACGTCCTGGCTTCCCCCCAGCAGCCTCTGAGGTACCCGAACATCTCAGCCCTCCGAAACACTGTTACTCGGAACATGGCTACCTCATAAAACTCAGTGGTTGCCCTAGGAACGGCTCCTATGGACACCTGGTGCACTGTGGTCAGCTCTGTGGTGGGTTGGCAGCTGCCGGCCCAGGCTGTGACTCCTCCGAGCAGGAGCCCCCCGGTGCAGCTCCAGAACCTTCCAGAGCTTTACCTCAGGAGGCAGCGGGGCCCTGCTGGGCCGTGCCGGGGGGGGCAACACCGACCGCAAAGGAACCCCCGTGCTCAGGAGGCTGGGGTGGGGCTCTCTGAGGAGGGGGCACCACCACTCACTCCTCTTGTCCTGAAGTACCAAAGATGGACGCTGTGGGAGGCAGGAGGGGACGGGAGCTCCCGCCATAGCTGAGCTAACGGTAGCACAGTGCTGTGAGGCAGCACCAACCTCCCCGAAGCCCAAAATGGCCATCCCAGAGTGCCGGCACCAAGTCCCGCCGAAGGGACAGGGTTTCCTCCATCAATAAGGCATGACAGAGCCTGCAAACCTTAACAAAGAAAAGCTCTAGAAAGGAGTTAATTAAAGAGTTCCAGTTCCCTTCAACACAGACCCCGGTCCTTTGTGAGCACAAACCTAAACCCAAGCATTCCCACTGCTAATTATGAATAAGTTGAGGCGCCCTTTGATAGGGCTCCTGTGGTTCAGGCTGCTGCCACATAGTGCAGACAACACCCAGATAAAGCCACCAGTGTGATGGCTGCAGGCTCACCCCTCCCTTGCTCTGTTCATTCCCATTGCTTGCAAGCTTTAGCAGCAGTCGGTGCATCTCCAGAAATAAAGCTGCAAGCACTTTCTCCAGGGAATTCCCCAGATTGTGCCCAGCCCTGCGATGCTGACAGGGACATTGGTGAGAGTTTTGTCCTATGAAAGGTTCCTGTACTGTTCTCCTAAACAAGCGAGTCCACAGGTGGAAATACAGAGCACCCAAACACGTGTACAGACGGGGCATGTGCTCCCTCTTTGCCAGGATCGTCTCACAGCTCCTGGCTGTTTCAGCACGCACTTGGGTTTTGCAAGGAGCTCCCACAAGGAATACATCATTCCTTGACCATACTCCAGAGACCACCTCTGCTCGAGGGCTGGCTGAGGGATGTGCCAAGTGCTGAAATACGTGGTCACCTATTGTGGAAATGGTGAGAAGGTGATGGCAGTCCCCAGATGAATGCTTCCTCTCACTGCTCACTGCCAGGTCATCCAGCATTGCTTGCTAACGCCAGGTCCATACGGGATGTTGAATGAGGACACGGTGTCAGTGGCCTGAGCTGGCAGCACGGCTTTCTGCTGGAGGTGCAGCTCAGTACACAGTTGCTATCACAAAAAGTAGAATTCTGGACTTTGGTTCAGTTTCTGGACTTGATGCAAATACACAATAGCCATCAGCTTCTCTGCAGACTGCGTGGATCAGCATGAAATAAAACAAAGCATGTCACAGATGTGAAAACCTGGAGCTGTTTTCTCCTGTACTATTGAACTCAAGGACTCTCTTTGCAAACAGACTCTTGCCAGCACATTACAGTAAGAGATCTCCTTACACCATTTGATCAGGTTAAGCATAGGTACCAGCGTGTAGTTGTGTCTGGCATTGATTCTCCCCCAAAAAACCCTGTAAGAACACTAAGAGCAGTTGTAAGATATTCCCTTGGGTTTGTTCCAGAGAGGTGGTACTGTCTATCTGTCCAGTCCAATAGACAACACTGGACTTGGCCTTCCAAGCTCAGCTAACCATGGCCATCTGCCAAGAAACCCTAATCTGAGGATCTCACTGGAGCATTACTGGGAAGCAGACAGCATTATCTGTGCAAGGGAACGACTGCTTCAAAGAAGAACAAAAGCAGAAAGCAGAAAATTAGAGCTTCAACCATAAAGTTCAAAGAACACGGGGAAAAAGCATGAAAAATAATTTTGACACTTTGAAGTAGAACTCAATTGTTCCATTAAACTGTATTTTTAATAAAAAATAACAATAACAGCATTCCAAATATCTATTTTATAAGCTTTACTAATGTATATTTTTTTTAATACATGTCAGAAATTCTTACTTGAGGCAAATGCAATATTTATAGAAAGCAAGAGACTTCAAAACAGCTCCAGAGACTTTAAGCTCTCGATTTATTCACAGATTTAGAATAACTCAGGAATACAAAATGACAAAATGTACATTTTTTATATTGTTTACTAATGTATTGTCTCTTGTCCCTGATCCGTCATTTTCCTGACTGGAGGAAACACATTCAGCTTCTTCACTGCCTTTAATGCTACACACTTCTGGAGGGAAATATTCCCATTTGGTGAAAATCTATCACAATTCTGTCTTGCAGAATATCACTCCCAGAGAATTATGTGAAGATCATTAATAAATACACTTTTGCAATGACAGTCATTTCTTCTTTGCTCATGATTCGTATCTATTATTTGCCTCAGCCTCTCCAGTTCCCAGAGAAGCTGCTGGTGAGAGTGAGGACCAGAAGAGGCAGTGCAGCTTCAGACCAAAGCCAGAATGAAGGCTGGCCAGTGGCTATAAAGGTTAACAAGATGTCAGAAGTCAGTTAACCCTAGTTAGACACGTCACTGGTTGTGGAAAGAAGCTCTCCCTGTCTGTCAAAGGCCACTTCCACAATATGTTGGCTGTGTTTGGAAGTGAGGAACACGCTTTCTGGAGGATGGCTTTGGGAGCCAGCAGGTCCATGTCTCTCCTCCAAGCTCAAACACTGTCTGGCTGTGTGGCCTCATGCAGGCCACAGAACCACATCACTCCTGAGGCTGATCCTAGGTGGAAGAAAAGCCCATCCTGTGCAGAGCCCGCTCATAGCCCCTGCACCCAACCCAGTCAGACACCCCTGAGGGATGCCACAAGCTGCCAACCAGCAGAAAATGGGTAAGAAGATGAGAAAGCAGTCAAAATATTCTTTCCGTTACCATTGCAAATCTTTAATTTTTCAAAAACAACAATTCTAGACTCACAAAAGCACATTGTTTAAAAAATACCAGATATTGGCTTATTTTGTCTATTCACTCTGTGTGATGCTCTTCAGTCTGGAGGCATCACTGAAACTGCAGCATTTCCACCGTTTCTTCCTTCCTCTTCAGTCAGCAGGTGGGCAGGTGAGCGTGTTTCCCTTTTCCTGTCAGTTTCACTTCCATTCTCATGTGGTTTTTCATTATATTACAGTGCAGCTATATTTTTACAGCCATACCCAAACACTGCTATAACAGAACACCAAGAAGTTTCGGAGCAGCCAGTCTATGACACCCTACCTGTGGCACAGGCACAACATCACTCCAAGAAGGATGAAGGGGCAACAGTGAGAAGCCTAAGAGAGCCCTGCCGCATGACCTCAAGTCTGCTGTCCTGGGCTCTGGTGGAACAAAGGTGTGATATTCAGTTGCAAATATCTCAGCACAATAGTGGAATTTTCAAACCAATACATTTTGCGAAGGAACCATAAACACTTTTGAACTTCTCCTTTTTATTTCAGCACCATGTTAAGTTTTAGCGTGAAAATTGTTTGATGTTCTTCTACAAAGTAATCTAGCCTCTGATTTTGGGGTGTGAATTTATTCCACATACTTCACTAAGTGCCTAGCAGAGGTCACTGGGAAGCAAAGGAATTTGTAACCCACATACACAAATAACTATACGCGCAGCATGATACAGATCTGGGCAGGCACGGGGTTATTTTTCTTTTCCAAGAAAATCCTGGATCAGAATTAGTCAAAAAGACAAGTTACCCTGGCAAAAGATAAGTCCAGAGCTCTCCCAAGTGTACTGCTGCTGAATCAACAGCTAGAGCTCTCAGCCAGCTCAGAGCTGCGCTAGACAGACAGCAATAAAGGATGTATTTTAGCTCCCCAAATTGCAGCAGCAAAAATAAGCCGTGAAATGAGTAACTGTTGAAAGATGATTAGCACACCAGTTCAGTGCACTGCTACAGGGTGTTTCTTTTCTCCTTAGACTTCCCCTGATGTTTTGAACTTCTGCCCAAGTCCTGCTCAACCAAAAGATTTTAGGACCTGATGAAAGACCACGAATTTTGCCTACTCCATAACCTAACAACTTTAAGGTTACACTTCCAGTTGGACCCACATGGGCTCTGCAAAGGCACAGTGTCTGCCCAGGATTGCCCGGGAACTACAGACCTCAACTGTAGTACATTGAACCACAGGTGTCATCACGGCTGCATTTCCTGTAGGAAAAACCTGCTCCCCCAGTGATGGCTACTGATGTTCAGAGAAACAGTTACAGTGTTCTGGCAAAAATCATTTTGCAAACTACAGTAAATGAACACTGCTGGGCTCAGCTGGAATCCACAGGAGTGGATGCGTTCACAGTCATTTCAGTCAGTACCATCCAAAAGTGTAACTCGGGGACTAAAGATCAACAATTTAAAAGTGAAAGTAAGTGCTAGGATCTTTATTTTCCTGGTGTCTCAAGTTCAGACTCTGACTCCTCACACAGGGCCTTGACTCCAGCAGCTGGGCTTTAAGAAAAAACAGAGACTGTTCAAAGGCATGTGACAAAATCATGCAAGTTGGTAAAAGCAGAGCCGGAGGGGTGGAAGAAACTGGTGAGTCAGCTTGTCACAGAAACGCATTTAGAATTTAACTGGCTGTAAATCTCAATAGGGACTATGTGTTCTGGGGCACTAGGCCAAAATATGCCCAAGAGCCTCCAGCTCCATATGACAGCAGTAGCTCTATCACGCAAACAAACACTTTTCTGAGCAAAGGATTTTAGTTGAGAGAGCAAACAGGCCTTTGTGAGCCTTTCACCACAAATGGCTGATGTCCAGTTTGGGATATTTTCTTAAATGTAAATAAGGAAATATATGCCATTAAGAATTCTGGTTAAACTGCACAATAAAAATAATGGGCATTTGTTCGTATGGAAACCATCTGGGGTCATAATGTCTAGGGCAAAATGACAACTGCCTCGGTATCTAGAAAAGTGGTTACCAGTGTTCCCCATGCCCACCTGCTGCCTGGGTAAAACAGAACTGATGCCACTCTACCAGACCCTGCAGAATCCCAGAGAGCTACTTCCCAAAGCATTTGAGCCGGTGCTTTTCACCAGAGCCAAACTCCTTCAGCTCCCGTGCAAGGGATGACAGGATGTGGGCTTTGGATCCTGGGGAAAGCTGTGCAAAACCCTATCCATTCCCCTCCCGTCTGTGACCAGGCCTGGCTGCTGCTGCTGCTAAGGTCTGTGCCTTGAAGTACTGCAGGGCCTTGGATTAACTCAGTTCCATCATTTCCTGACATTTCCATGTTCACAGCTGCTGAAGGAGCAAGGCTGTCATCAGGGCCCAGCGCAGCAACCGCGTCGGGGACACAAGGGAAGGCTGCTCATGCTTTGGACATGCTGGGTGAGCAGGACCCACAAGCTCCTGTGCCAAGGGAGCTCCTTTTCTCTCTGATACTTTGTCTTAGCAGGACCTCACATATTCGCATCTTGCTCCAGTGCTCATTCACAAGGCTGACATGTATGGCTGTACCCTGTGTGGCCCCTGCTAATTCATGACAACACTAGTGACTGACAAGAGCTGGCACCTTCCCCATCAACACACACTGTGGGCCAGCATGAGCAGCAAATCTACAGTCGAGGAATCTCTTAAAGTAAACACTGAAGTGAGTGCCTGTGGCTGTATCTTGCAAGCACTGCTCAACAGACTTGGCTCCTGGGGTTGGAGTATATCATCTCCAGTGTGAGCCTCACTGAAGTTAATATTAATGCTACAGCTAACCCAGCCAGCTGCTGCACAAGGCAAAGAGCAGTTTATAGCAGAAAAGTCCCTGCAGCCTATTAGTTCTCTGCAAGACAGCAGTCTCATCCTTCCAGATGTGCACTCTGGCACTGAGCTCCAGAGCATCTGAGCACTGCAGAGCTGGCAAGCTCTACACATGCCAAACATGTGTCAGAAACACTTCAGAGGAGCTTTGCTCTTGCTACTCATCCCGCGCAGCCTCGTGCTGTTCCTGACATGACCGCAAACAGCACTGTGGCACACCAGGGTTCTCGCTGTCAGGAGTGACAGTTTGAAGCCACCCTGACAGTGCTCAGTGCTGGCCCTGCTGAGCCCTGCACAAGCTCAGGCTGACGGTTCTGGCTGTGCTGAGGCTGAGCAGGGGGTGCTGGCTGCAGCATGCTCCACATCCCATCACCCAGGCAGGGATATGGTGCAGGGGGACCTGGCTCCCTTCCATGCTGCTTTCCCTCCCCACAAGCGAGGGCTGAAGTATGCTGCTGTGCACTGGGGTTTTGTGGAGTTGTGCAGCCCAGGTACAGCCCCAGACTGGGAGCCTGCTTTCCTGGGCTGGGCTTACAGATTCTGTCATCTCCTTGGTTCACAGGTATGTATCAGCCTATGCGCACTCCACTAACCATGGGTGTTATAACCATGGGTGTTATAACCATGGGTGTTATCCCCACCACCACTTGGTGGGTTATGTATTAGTCTGGTGTCACTGCCTCTAAAAGACCAGTATTTCCCACTCTTCCTCTCTTTCCACAGAAAGTTTTATGTGACATCTACATAGATGGAGAACAAGTTTTGTTCCACCAAGTTCTGGCACATTAAACCTAACAAACATACAAGAGATGCAAGAGCAGCTAATGCTGTGTGCTCATTGCCTTTGTGATACATCACTACTAAGGAGAGTGTAGAGGGGGCCAGCCCAGAGCAAAACTATTGTTTGCAATTGCCTTTTCCTTTTGACATTTTCATTGTATCTTCTTTTAGGATTGTAAATCTCCCATGATGTCTTTACAACACAGCTGCGAAGAGGCAATATCTAAAAGGCTGAGGAAGAAAATGTCCTGCCACCTGGGAGCAGCACTCTTTATCTCCCCAGTAACGTGCAGGTGTCTTGGGCTGGTCTGGCTCTCTTCTCTTCCACTGTGATATTTTTCAGTCAATGCATGCCTGATTCTTTTTTTGTTCTTTCCTGAATTGCAGGTAGCTTTGAAAAAACACGCATGAACCAGCCCTGCCAGGTGAAAAATAAAGGCTCCTGATTGCTATCATTATTGTTATACCACTAGACATTTTATTAACACTAAAGTGTGACATTTCCCTCCAAAGAAAGGCCTTCTTCTGCCCTTCTGCATGGCTACTTTATTGAATCCAAACTCCGTTTCCGAGGATCTTCACCTGTTTAAACGCTGCTGTGTTTCTAAAAGCAATTTAACCTTTCATCTTTTATGGATGGATCCTTTTTTAACAAAAATCCTATAGGGCCATTTTTCTCCTCATCTCCTTGTGATCTCAGTGATATTACGTGATGTAGCTTTTGAAGAAGAAATGCCGAAACAGCAGCTTCACCACCTGCAGTTAATGCAGCAGGAAGACGGAAAAGGCAACCTGGAAAATTCCCTTTTCAACATTTCTCTCACAAGCTCCTGGTAAGAATCCCCCAAACCGACAATGTCTCTTGCATAAAAATGAAGGGCAAGTGCTGAGGAAGGAGAGAATGACCCGGAGATTTTGCCCATGTAAAAGCCATCAGCTTGTTTTCCAGCCTCGCAGCCGCTCATTGCATCAATGACTCAAGCACCACCCAGCTTTAAGTATTTATTTTTGGCAGTGGCTCTGTGCTGTCCAAGGTAACTCAGTCTCCTGGGATGAAGAAAGCCGTTCTGAACACAGCCAGTGCCCGAGAGATGCAGTGTTTAGAGACAGAACTGTTTTCAAGGCATTGTTGGATGATTTTACTGCTTACTTACCTCATGGCTCACAGGGGATTCTTGGTTCAATAAAAACCAGACAACTACAGACACTAGTATGTATTTTCCTTTACTAAATCCTCTAATCCCAGTTCAGTCCAGACTACTCGGAGAAATTCAGCCTCTCTCCATGACAATACACGTTTCTCCTTCTCCTTCCTCAGCCCAGGCATCTCTCTGGGGAAGGCAGATCTGTTTGCACGGCAAGTCTAGAGCATCCTGACCCTTGCACGTCACCCAGGCAGGGAGTTACCACCAGGGACAGTGGAGCCAACAAGGCTGCACTGGTACGGGCCACAGCAGGTCCCTTTCTCCTTCTCCCATCTGCCTTTGGCACCAAAGCTGAATGATGGCTGGAGCCCACAGGGTCTTTGGAAAGACCTACTGCAAATCCTGCCCAGTTGTGATTACCCAGTACCACCAGGCAGGGGGAGCACAGGGAGGATGGGGGCTGTGGGAAATGTGTGGGGAAGGATGGGTGTCCACAGAGGACCCCAATGACCTTTACCCTCTACTGACCCTACTTTTGCACAGCAGCAGTTGATGTTTCCTCACCTAATGGCTCTTGGAGGCTGCACAGCTTCCCCAGCTCAAAGTACCAAGGTCTCCCAGGAGGCCTGATGCTGCAACAAGAGACTGAATTGGCTGAGCAACATAAACAGTGACAGCCACAGCCATAACAAGGTGCTCTGGCGCCTGCAGACTTAGGCCACAGGCTCACAAATGGCACCTGGTGCGAGGACAGTCCAGACGTCTCTGTGAGCAAGCCCTACCACGAAAACCCCATCACAGCCTGCTTTCCTGAGTCCCTGAGAAGTTTTAGGAGTTTTTTAAGCCATCTTGAACCAATGACAAGTAGAGAACATGGGTCTTCTCTTCATAAGGTCTCTAATTTGAGGATTGTCTGACAACTACAGATAGGGACTGCTGAGTGCTGTAAAAGGAGGTTTCCTTGGTGTGGGCAGCTGAGTGCACAGGAGCAGAGCTCAGTGACCCTGAATACAAGTTAGTTTGCAGATCTGCTTCCCTTTCCTCTCCCTTTCCCTCTCCCTCTGTATATCAGGTGTCAGTTTTTAGTTTTGGAGCTTTTGCCCCTGTAAAGCTTCTCCCATTCACACCTGCGAACATCCTCTTGCTGTGGAAGATGTTAATTGTGCGTTTCACCCAATGAAAGACTGTGAAGTCTCACAGATTTGCCTTCTCGAAGCTGTAGTTAAAATATACATTTATCTGTAATTTACTTCATAAAACACATTAACAGAAAGAATGAAAGCCGCATAGCCAGAGCATCCACCAGCCAAAGAGACATCATTAACATTCCCTGCACCTGAATAACAAGCAAGGAAAAACAACACAGGGATTTAGAGTTCAACTTGCAAAAGATAACACCATGCATTAGAAGCGAATGAGCCTCCCAATGGGAGCAGCACTAGAGAATGGAAAGAAAATAAAGTAGGGCAGTGTGCCAAATTCAGGAGGTTTAAAAAAAATAAGCAGCACAGCCATCACAAAAGAATCCCCGTTTCAGCCCAGCATGGGAGGAAGTATGAACTGAAACCCAACGAGGATTTCCATGTTACTGTCTTAATTTGTAAAGGCTTTGAAAAATAACACAATGCTGAGCTGGTCTTTCTTTTTTGGGAAGAGGGGAGAGGGTCAAAGGGAACTGTATTGGTTATCAAATAATGACAGAAAAAGCTATTCTCTCTGGCTCTCCTAAACTCCCAAGTGACTTGAAGGGACACAAAACACATCCAAAGAAACCCTTGCACAGGAAGGCAAAGCAAAGCCTGCACCTTTCTCCAGCACACTGCTCTTGTGTAGCTGTTCCCTGCCTCCTTGCTGTGCACTGACACATGGCTGCTGTCCCCCAGAGGGACGGGAACTGCACCTTGAAACGGAGACTGATGCCTTTCCTCACACAGGAAGACGAGCTTTGGTGACTATAAAGCATATGGCAATAATAGCAGGATCAGATGCTGTGCATTCAGTGACAGGCCTGGGCACACACCACCACGAAGGGCTCATACCTTACAATTTCTGGTCCAAGCTGGATGGAGGTTATGCTAATAATGTCTACAGGTACTGGACACAGAGCCCTTTTATCCATGTTGTTGGGGGATGCTTCATTCAGATCCACCTTTTCCTTTGCCCCCTGTTTCCAAACCTGTTCGGGATTTTTGCTTTCTCCCATTCTTATTCTGGCAGTTTTAATTGTAGAAATCCAGCTTTACCCCTTTTGTTGCTCAGTGGATACAGGAGAAGGTGAAAGGCAGGTAGAACACCACAAAAGCAAAAGGCAGGTGAGCTTTGAAGGAAAAGGGGTCTAGGAAAGGGATAAAAAAGGAGCACAGAAATGGAGGGTTGATCTCTGTTGTACTCACAGCATGTAGTAAGCCAAGCAACAGCTACTGTACCTTAACTAGGCAACCGGTAGAAAATCAAACCTTCCCTGTGATCAATAGGATAATGGTGAGAGTTTGATTAGCCTTGGAAAAATTACAATAAGGAGAGAATTTTTTCTCTCCATGGGCTGGGTGATTTCCCTGTGAAAGTTTTTACAAGAATGAGGCTGCAGATAATGCGTCTTGTTAACCCAAATTACATGCACTCGAATTCCCTCTCTTTCCCCAAAGAAATCAGAGAAGAAATCAGGCGTGAAATGGCATGTGGGTGGGGCGAGCAGAGCCAGCACCGCACTGTAATTAAATGAGACTCGCCGAGCCCCCTCGCTCAGAGCCCTTCAGTTCTTGTTCTGGGCTCTACTCACTACCCAGAAACACGGGGATACACTGCGTGTAAGGGTATATGCACTCTGTGCAAGACAAAGCTGCTGCAGGAAAAGGGGGGGGGGGGGGGGGGGGCTCCTGCCTTTCCCTAGGTCAGGAAATCCTCAGGCCTGAACCACTGCAGCCCAAGAGCAGAGCTGCCTGATGGAAATGTGGCTTCTACTGATTTATCAGGTCCACTCTCAAACAGATCTCAAACAGAAGGGCTTCTGTCCTATTCACTAGAGAGGACTGGACGGGATGGTGCATTGCAATTTAATTTCTCCTATCCTGGTCATAGTTTCTGCTACCAGATAATGTTCAAACTCCTCCAGCAGACCCACTGGGAGCTCCTTCTGTGCGATCCTCTCTTAGTGAGAGCCCACACTCTTGTGCTGCCATTTGCTCCGGGTGAAATTCCCTGCTGAGTGGCACCACTTTACAGCAGGTCATTTGCTAACTGCATTTCACTGATCAGGAGGCTTGAGAGTCTTTTGAGACTTAATATTGGGGTGAGGTTACAGTTTGCTCCTAGGAAGTTCTGCAGGAGCCGCTGCCGGCGCTGGCAGAGGACACGGAGGTGTCACTGCGGCTACCAGGGTGCCTCCCAGCAGGGTCTCTATTGCCACGGCATATTCAGAACTTCCCTGCGTGGCGTTTCTCTCTCACAGCCTTGTGCAACGAGGCTGCAGAAGCTCTGTGATTTGGAGAGAAGCAACTGGCCTAGCCCCTGATAGAAAACCAGACGTGTTTTCAGCTCCAGGAGGTTCCTGCAAAGCAGAGAGGGGCTTGCGCACAACTCTTCAGCCCTGGATGGAGGAGCGATGGCCCCGTCTGAGCTTCCTGCTCCGAAACTTCCTCTGCCGAGCGCAGCCGCTGTGTGTGCTGTTCCCCCGGTAACCCCCGCCGCCAGGAACCCAAACCCGGGCGGGTCTGCAGCACCCGGTGGGACCAGCGAGGGCGCAGCGCCACCGCCAGGGACCGGCCCGGGGACCCGGCATCGCTGGAGCCCCCGCGCCGGGGCCGGGCGAGGAACGGCCCGGCCGGGCTCCTGCCCTGGGGACGGGGCGCCAGGAGCGGCTGCAGCCGCTCTGCTGCCCGAATGTGTTTCCGAAGCTGCCGTTATTGTGCTGGTTTCTGATGGTCTGTAATGAAGGGTGAGACCGGCCTGCGCAATGGTGCGGAAGGGGGGCAGCCGGCGCCTGGAGACACCCAAGACTCAGCCCTACTGCAAACCCCTTCGGGGATCAAGGGATGAAAGAAAGAAGCCATACCAGGGATGGAGATAAGAGGCTGTACCAGTGATGCAATGCTCCTCCTGTACCCACTAGCTCTGGAGATGCGCACTGAGCACAGGAATGCTCAGGGGGATTTTGTGTGAGTTTGGTGCCAGATCTTGTTTCACATGAAGATACAGCCATGCCCAGCCCAGTCCCCAGGCCAAACCCAGTGAAGGCACCCATTTAATACCACGTTGATGCTCTGGTCTGAAATGCCTGATTTGATGCAGTTTATTATGGCTCAAACAGCAATCTTGTGCACATGAGAACTGTAATTCCTTATCCCTGTCATAAAATACATAGGAATGGAATCCCTGTTTCCCAGACAGCACAGAAAACAGTGTATTAGGTTGCTAGTATTATTAACAACAGGACTAGAAGTACTAATAATGTCGATACTAATAATTTGCACAGTAGCGGTGCTGAGTCTCTGTCTTGCAGTTGTGCCAAAGCATGAACCATACCCAGAAGATCTCACAATCCAAAGATGCTCAACAAAGCATAGGTGAAAGGAGCACTTGAGCCCCACTTTTCCAGCTGAAGACTGAGCTGCAAATGGAATTTAACAGCAAGATGGATGTTTGATTATGAAAAAAAAAAGATGTTGTGACTCTCCCTAACTTCTGCTTTGCTGTATGTTTCCCTCTGTAGGGGTAGAACCTGCCTCTGCTTCCAGGCTCTCTGGCTGTGGTTGTCCTTGAAGCCCACCATCTCCTCCTTGACTTGTGTCCCTCTTTCTGCTCTGGTGCCGGTGTGCTGGCACCCTGCCTGCTGGGTTCCTTGCTTCTCCCCTTAGTTTCTGGCTTTGTTTTCATCAGTGGTCCTGGTGATGCAAGGGAAGGCTGTGGTTGCAGTAATGAGCTGGGTAAGTAAGCCTTAGGGGGAGCAACCTGGGACTATGTGCTCATGGTGCTGCCTTCCTCCAGGGAGCAGAAACAAAGGAGACTAAGTGAGGAGAGGCGAGCAGGTGGCACTGGGGAGGCAGCAGGTGGGAGCGAGGC